TTTTTTGTGCATGACATTGATGTCATGGAAATCTTTTTTTTTTTTTTTTAGTGGTGGTTGATGTAGGAACATCATAACTAAATGCAGCCATAGGAATTAAATACCTCTTGTACCAATTTCTCTAGTGTTTTTTAGAATGTTATTTAGCTAGCTTATATATGTAAGCGTTGTAGTGGGAAGAGGATGATGAATATTAATCTCTTTTGAAGCTTTAAGTTTGTGTTTGTTTCCAAGATTGAATATTCCTTCTAGTAGGTCAAATTCTTTCGTCGATCCATTACATCAGTTGATATCAGAGCCTAGAGCTTGTGAAGAATGACGGACTGCCGACAAAGATGAACTGTCGATGATGATTGAAACAAAAAAAATGGGCGATCGACAAATATCAATATCGAATAAGATGGGTGCTCGACGACAATCGATGCCTAAAAAGATGGGCGGTCGATGACTATTCTCCTGTTGACCTATAATATATTAAAAAAAAAAGTGTGTGTCGTATACCTGCCCTGCAATCCCACAACCTCGGCACGTCGAGCTCCGCACAACCCACGTCACTGCCCATGTCGCACGATCTCCTCGCAACGTCAAAAGGGCGAAAGAAGGGAGAGATTCGGCTGCTCTGATCCTCTCCGAAGCTCTCTCGCTTCCGCTCTCTCTCGACGACTCTCCCTTCCCTTTTGATCGGAAGTTACGTCAATTAGATCGGAAGGAACGAAGAGCTCGTTCGCTGCGAGCGTAGCTTCCTCTAACTTCGTCCTCCCCGTTGTTACTTCGGCCTCTTCCTGGCTGCTCGACTTCACTCGCTCGACGGCGTTCCCTTTCAAGTCGGACCAGAAGCTACTCATTTTGATTGGAAAAAGAACGGGAGCACGCTGACCGTGAAGATAACTTTCTCCCCTTTGCGTTGCTTCTCCGGATCCTTCAAGGCTGTTCGACTTTGCACCTTCGACGGCTTGCCCTTCCTGTCGATCGAAAGTTGCGGCATTTGATCAGAAGCAAGCACGGGAACTCGCTTATTGTGAAGGTGACTATCTTCCTTTCACGAGCTTCTCAGCCAAATCCCGTTAATCCGTTATTCCGTCGAACCAAGGGATTATCTTTATTTTTATATAATTTTTATTTTATTAATTGTAATTATGTTAATTAAATATAATTAATTAAAATTATTATTTTTAATTAATCATAATCTATAAATTAATTATTATTAATTATTGTGATTAATTATATTTTATTAGAATTAATTAATATTAATTAAGTTATAATTAATTTTAAGTTATTGTCTTAATTAATTTTAATAATTTTAATTAATTATAATTAATTAAAAATAATTAATAAAAATAATTATTTAATTAGTTATAATTAATTAATTATAATTATAATTAATGAAACATGCCTTCTCCTTGCTCGGTCCAGGAGCCTCTACTGTCAAACCCGTGAAGGTACGCATCTTCTAGACTCAGATTATTGCTTTCATTGTATGCGGCGAACCCGAAAACCGCCTATACACGTCTTTATTGCGCGTGGTGAGATGGGACCCCGGTCCGACGCCTACGACGAGGCGAGCAATCACCTAAACTCTACTTCGGCGTTAGTGGCGCACCGGAAAACTGTCTATACACACCTTTATTGCGCGTGGTGGGATGGGACCCCGGTGCGGCACCTACGGTGAGGCGGGGTCACTTATAAGTACCTCCGAGTGGAGGGAAAGCAAACTACCTTTTTAAACAGGTATCGCAGACCCCATACACGCCTTTATTGCACGTGGTGGGAAGAAAGATCACGGCCACGGTGTCCTCGTCCGAGGATACCTACCATACACGCCTTTATTGCTCGTGGTGGGAAGGCTCAGTTTATCGTTGTTTTCCCCTAAACGGGAGAGACGCTGGGAGACTGCCGAAATTTCGGGTGAAATACGACTGCACTTGGGACCTATTTTGAATTCAAAAGAAACAAAGATGTGGACTCATACTTGTGGACTTTTGAACTTGATTGAACATGAGCAGAGGACCTGAACAAAATCTAAATGATTTCTAAAAACTCAAACCCAAATAAAATGAAATCAAAATGGTGTCAAATTCAAATCAATTTGAGCTTATAATTGAACTTGCAAGGACTTGTAAATTTAAACCAAACAAAATGGCAAGAGATCCTGAACAATCAACTTGAACTTGTACTCTGAACTCAAAACTAGAACAAGATGTGGGCGACAAGAACTTATGCATTTGAACATGAACTGTACGATGCCAAGTGAAATTTGGATTTGTAAGCATTTTATTCAAATCCGGATGAACTCAGTATGACAATAGAAGACCTGAATAAGTGTGGGAGACTCATACTGAGTTTGATCTCAAGTCTAAATGAAACTGAGCTCGGATCCAAACACGTACAAAGAAAAAAGCTTGAATCACACGCGAGGGAATTCAAAGAACCTTTGTACAATGGCGACTCAATGTCAGATGAAATACATTGATCTTGGATCGGGAGCGCCGTACCTGCAAGAATGAAATGCATATGTGTCCCTCTCATATGCACCATTTGAAGCTCCAACATAAATATCATTGCCTGTTGATTGAGATTGCAATACTAGAGACCAGCAATAAAAAATCCACCAGCATTGATGGAAGGTGGATGTGATGCAAGGACAATAGTTCTCCTATGAATATTTCCAAGAGGTCGTAGTAGATACAACAGTCCCCATGAAGTCAATGCACTGTACTTGTAAGCAGCAACAGACAATTGTAAGGTGTACAAGTATTACCCATATGTAGCAATCAAAAACCCGTCCCTGTAAACAAATACATCGAAACCCACCCGAGATTGGTGAAAGGTGGATATGATACTGATGTAAATGGCTCTTCTACGAATTCTTCTAGAAGCTTGTAGTGGATACAACGGGTCCCTGCAAATGAGCACAAACCCACTTATGGATAACAACAATGGATGCATCGTAAATACAGCGAATCACTATGGACACAAGTACAAGTATCACCCACGACAAGGGTGATTGAGATGTCGCTAGTACATCGGGTATAAGGGCAACCCGATGTATGGAAAAGGAGAATAGAAGAAATGTTTGAACAAAATTATAACTAAACTTCCTAGCGTTGCAATGTCTCTTCTTAATTCTATACTTAAGAAGAAAACCGTTCTGGTGTCCACAAACACCGAAAATAACAAGTCCACCACACTAACAATCTCAAAAGGAGCTCCTTTCAAGGCAGCATCCACGAATTTCAAGGAAACCCTTCCCCGGTGAATGAGAAAAGGGGAGTCAACAATAAGATGATGAGATGCCTCATGACATCCTGATAATAACGCCACCGGATCTGCAACACTCATACGAGCAGACAGAAGGCGTCTACAATCTTCAACGCAATGCCACCAGATATGCAACACTTATGCAAGCAGACAGAAGGCGTCTACAATTTACAACTCACCGCCACTGGATCAACAACACTCGTATTAGCGGACAGAAGGCGTGTATAGGTTCTCAAATGAAATATTGTGCATTCAACCAACAATTATCCGCACAACCAAAATATGATAAAATGCTCCTGCACGTGCACTATAAATTGTATACGCATAGGTACACTAAAGGGAAAAATATAATCCCGACCCGCATGGGCCCCGACGAGCGTGTTATTGGTACACATGTGACGTCTAGGGATGCTGTGCGGGTCAATGAGTGAATTCTTGTTCGAACGCGATCCTTCTATACGGATCAATAGAAGTTGACAGGGTTCGAACCTTCAAACAAATACACGGTTGTGGTGACCAGTATATTTATTTTAATATATTCATATTAGGCTTTCAAGGCCTATAATCAAGAGAATTCATAAAAAAAAGAGCATAAAGCCTGTGAAACCCGATTCTCCTAAGCAAGTAAATAGGAGTAGACAGGGTTCGAACCATCAGATAAATATGCGGTCACAAAGTTGACCGGAATATTTATTTTATACATTCATATTAGGCCTTCAATGCCTTAAACAAAGAAAATTCATAAGCAAAGGCACAAAGCCTACAAGAAACCCGATCCTCGGTCAATATTTCGGTCGAGTCGACAGGGTTCAATCAACAAAAGGGAAATGACCCCATGCATACCCCGATGATGGCCGTGTTGAATGAAAATCTCAACCGGAGGGGTTCAAAAATATTTTCAAATGCCTCCCAAAAGTCAACTCAAAATTCAAAAATTCCAAAATTTAAGATATTTAAATTTGAAATCATCCATCAATCACTCAAAGCAAAATCCATCCACCCTCCACAACAGTTTGCCGAGGTGGACAAATTCAAATATACCTTTAGCTCATAAAGAGATAATGTCTAGTTGAAATATCACTAGGATCTATTCTCAAACGATCTCCTTCCAGTAAGGACGTGGTACATGTCCTCTAATCGGTGGTTTTGCCACCAAATGACACCGCAGGATAAACGGCTATGACCCGGGGCCCTCTGAACCGAGTGATTTTGCCGCCAAATGGCGCCACGAAATACCGGTTATGGCCAGATCCAATACGATCCTTATTAGCATCAAATCTTGAGATATGAATCAATAAGATATAATCGATAGGGCATAAAGCCCTCTGTTAGCTAAGGCGGATTAAAATTTGTCCCCTTAGACAAGCATTCACCCCAGGTCTATAAGGTCCCCTTGGACGAAGCAACTCATGGTTGCCGACAAGGATCCTTCTGTCAGGTTGGATCGACTATCTCCTCTGACTAAGTAGACCAGGGACCACGATGGCCCGGGACGACGGAACCATGAGATCTTGATCGGGTCCATCATCCATTCTCCCACCATCCGCTTTAAGTGAAAGATGGTGAAATTTCTAATTTTAAATATTAAATCTTTCAGTCCTTCAAACTTCCAATCCGAAGTCCATTGCTGCTACTATATGCCAGATAACACGTATTTCTACGTATTTGATTGATGATTAGCCTTAATTGAAAGTTCTCTCTCGTGATCGGGAGGGGTAATTAACGATAGGAGCTTGCGCCTATAGGAAACCAGAACTCATATCATAAAGTCCTCGCAAAATGAGGGCGAAATCTCTGGGTAGTGTCTTATCTACAAACTCATATGCCTTCCAAAATTTACTTCGGAACTTAATCTGTTAAAACTCCCTTTGCCGATAAACCAAAGCAATCAATTGTGCGGCGGGGAGGCCGGGGCCGAATTTTCGGAGCCCACACCTCCGCTCTAACTTCCACTCCAATGGCGAGATCCTCCGCCCGGCCAGCGACCCTTCGCTAATACTTCACGTGATCTCAAACAGATTCGCAACCAACCTGCTGCCGTTGTCCATGACTATCCACCACTCCAACTTCCAGAACACGCAGTTCGCAACCATCGTCCGTGACTTGCCTCTCGTCAGATCAGATCCGCCCTCATGCCGGTGTCCCGCATCGCTGTTTGTTCCAATTCCGCCTCTGATTTTTCTCGCCACCAAACTTGCGATCATAATCCGCTCCCTCTCTGCTCCTTCGACCCCAAACGCACTCCCGCTTCCGTTCGGACTGCACTCCAACTCCCTCTCCCAGTTCGCTCCTGTCATCTAGAGCTCGTCAAGCAGGCCTATTATCTGCAAAGTAGAATCGATCAGAATTTGGTTGTTCCAGATGAGAAAAAGACGGGCACGACTATTACGATCTGGAACCCGACGAATCAACTGCCTCTGCTATTGTCTATTTCACTCAACTTGTTGGCTCGCTTCCAGCATGCGACCTAACAAGTGCCCACGTGTGACTGGCACTCTGCACTCTGCTTCCACTTTCGCTCCCGCTCGCTCCCACAATCGACCCACAGCCCGTCGCCTGCAGTTCACGCTAGCCGCGACCTTATCCACGCTATCGAATCATGCCTGCCCGCACATCAACTCGCGTTCGTGATCTAGTCGCGACAAACACCTCCCGCGTGACCACTCATACCTGATATGTTCCCAAATTGTGTGGTCAAGCATCCGTGAACACGCGCGCACACCCTGCTTTCGCTCTTATGGAGTCCACATTCTTCCTGGTCTCTTCCGTTCCGAGCTCATTCATGCGAAGGCCGAGTTCGGCTTCTCCTTACCAAGATCCTGGAGCTGTACATCGAGTACTTTAACAACTACAAAGGATGGATCCCGCTGGAGATCGGGAACCTTAGGAAGTTAGTACAACTAGACAAGGCCTCTCACCGGTGGTACTGATGTTACTAAAAAGTTGCGAAATGAAAGATTTTTAAGTCCATTTCATCCTCGTTATCTTGATATACTTACAAAATTCTGCTTATCCCATGTTTGTGTTAGGTTATCTTGTTAATGTTATAACATATCGTGAATGAATTCTGTTGGGTTATCTTGTTTGTCATGATGAGCTACTTTGGGTTACAAGTATTGATATTGCCATGGTTGTTCTGAAGGAAAATTTAATTGTCACCCTATTTTGAGATGAGTATGTTCTACCGCATGAAGAGTATTGACTTCATGTACTGCCAAAAGTCCTCGAGTATAAAAAAGGGCCAAATATGGGCATGATGGACAAAAAGAAGCAGACCTAGAATATCATGTTGCAAACCAAGTTAACAAATGATTAATGAGGTGCATGATCTGGCTATTATATCCTGTGATGGCATCCACCGCGAAAGGAGAATACTACTCAAACAAGAGACTGGAAGAATGGCTTATTTTCTTGCTGATCAACCTAGCTTGCTTGTCCCAAATATTCAAATGGTGTTCTCTGCACTAGCATTAGCTCAATATAAGGTAATTTGTTTTTTCAACATGTTGGAGTTGCATTCTCAAAGTTTAAAGCCGATCGAGTGCCGATTGAAATTGACGCAGTAGATCCAACTGTAGGATTTCTGTTGGATGGAATTAGAAGCTTATCCAATGGATGTATGCAAATTTGTGGAAGTCTAAAGGAACTTAGTGGGGTAATGAACAAGCTTGCGGGTATGTATAGAAAACACAGAGTCTTCGATCCAGGAGGATTACTTATGATTTCTACACCAACCGCCCTACTGATGATGAGTCTCGACGTAGTCAAGCTTTTCTGACGCAAGGGGAGTATGATGTAGGAATATCTTAACTAAATGCGATTTTAGTAATAAAATTTCTCTTGTACTTATTTCTCTAGTGTTTTTTAGAATGTTGTTTAGCTAGCTTATACATGTAAACATTGTACTGGGAAGAGGATGATGAATTTTAATCTCTTTTGAAGCTTTAAGCTTGTTTTTGTTTCCTAGATTGGGTATTCCTTCTAGCAGGTTCAATTCTTCCGTCAATCCACCACATAAGTGGTGATAGCAAATGTCGAGTGAGTGAAAAATAGTCTCATATTGGAACTGAAATATGACTTAAAATTCCTATTTTTAATAAATGTAATCTTATCCATTAATTTAAGCTTTTGGGTTGATGCTGTCCATCTGTTAGTGCCTTGATCTCTCACTTAGAAGTTATTATTAAGTCTTTATTTATATTTTGTAGCAAATGATCCATGAATATTATAAAACTAAATACATCTAAAAATTGAATAATTATGATCCCCTTTTTCCTGTATGTTATTGATTACGTATGATTAGTTTCATTTTGAATCCAGATTAACTTCATAATGTGCTTAGCATAAGATTGAATAAAGGAAAGATAAAATATAGTCATGTGAACCTGTGATCTTTAAAAATATTATGACAACACTATCATTGATGTTTTTATCCTTCTTGTTTCTCTATTTTCACCGATTCAAGTGGTTGGGATAAGACTAATGATGGTGATGGTGGTCTCCCTTTGGGTGGCCAACTTCTTTACAGGGAAAACTAAAAATGTCAGATTTATGGAAATATGGCTAACATAAAGAGTCTTGAAAACCATTGACTAATTTGAATTTCTTTTGGTTGAGGCAGAGTTCGAGGTCTACATCCTGAACCAACTGGCAACATTAGCTAGTGGTATGACGTATGAGAAGGACCCAATTTAATGTTAGCTTAAAAAATAACCCCAAGTTACAGTTACGAGTAGAAAAAAATTCTTTTTCTTGTTTAAAATGATACCTTAGGCTCCATCATATTCTGCTCCAAACTTTTCTATGATTAACACTGCAGCTTTCAGATCAGTTTTTTGGGAAGCTCTATCATGAGTAGCTGTGTGAAGCCAATACAACAGACTGCAAGCGAGCCAGTTGTTCTTCTCCACGGTTTTGACAGGTATACCAACTCTTATTTAAGAAATTTCCTGCCATCCTTTTTTTTTTAATGTTTTTCATTGAAGAGAGAGTCCAAAACATTAATAAGACTGCATGATTACACATTGAAATAGCATGTGAAGCAAATAAAGATGAAAGCAGTTTCTCGCCTTAACAAAATATAGTGTCATGAATGATCCATTAAATTTAGATTAGGCGAAATCTGGAGCAAATGTAGATTGATTTGAAGTGGTAGATGTTTTATTATCTTTAGTTCAGTCATTTGAATGTTAGTGATGAGGACATCAAGACATGGAAGATTTATTAGATGTGTGGCCGTCGATCTACAGCCACGGTTTTACCGCTCTACTTTTTTTTTTCGTATTTATTATTGATTTATTTGTTTTTATTTATGAAGTTTTATTATGTTTTTCCATTTTTTCCCTTACTTAAGGGCTTAAGTATGTGTAAGCCCTAGGGGCATTGTAGTACTTATTATTTTCTCATTGTATGGGCTATTTAAAGCCTCCCTCTTCTTCTTTGAGGGTTAATGAATGAATATTATGAAAATTTCTTGCATATTGTTCTCTTGATGTGAGATTTTGTGAGTCTTGGAGAAATCCCTAGGAGAGGAAAATCGGATCTCCCACCAACCTTAGAGACAGTCGGATTTGTGGTTCTTCTTCCTTACCTTTCTTTCGTTTTTTTCTTTCCCTTCCTCCTCCTCCATTAGGCCACACTCCACCTTACCACCGGCCTCCTTAGTCTCACCCTCACCGTCGGCTAGCTCCACCATCGTCTTCCCCCCACCCATGACCCAACTCCCTACCCGAACCCCTGGATCCACCGACCACCCCCTCACCGTCCCTCCGCTTACCAACCGACGCCCCCACCACCACCTGAAGACCACCGGCCTTCCTTCTCCGTCCCATCAAGCCACCGGTCTCCATATCCCCCTCTTCAGATTAAATTATTTCCTAAAGCTCCACTTTCCTTATTTAACTCCATCTATCTTTGGAAGGAGTTTGAATTTGAAATAATTCAAATTAAAATCTCAAATCCTTCCTATTCCATAAATCCTATTTTGGAAAGACTATTAAATAAATCAATTAATTCAAATCTGAATTGATTGAGTAATTAATGCCTTAACTCCAAATACATTGAATCTAGACACACACAACCCTCCCTCTCTCTTGGCCAAACCCTCCCCTTGCTCACCTCATTATTTATTTCCCATAAAATCAGCCCCTTACTTTGGAAATACTTCCAAACCCAGCCCTAGCCTACCCGCGCCCTCCCTCATCCCATAACCTGCTTAAATTTATTTCCAAATCAAGAAATTTCAATTTGGAAATTGATCTCAGTTTTTCCCTTCAAGATCCTCTCACAAACCTTAAACCTAATCCCCTCAAAATCTGGACTAAACCCTCCCCAAGCCAAAGCGGCTGTCCTGCTGTTATATCTGCTGTAGAGAGGATTCAGCACCGGCCCCTTGCTTTCCTGCGCCATTGGAGGTCTGAAATTGCTGTCCACAAGCTTCCAGCAGCCCATAACAGCTGCCAAATGCTTATCCAATCACTATAGGGTGCTGTCCAGAATTTCCCAAGTGTCAAAGCTGCTGCCCAACAATCGTAACAATCTCCTATGGCTGTTTTTCTGGTCTTAAACTTCAGATTGCTGTCCAACAATATCGAGAAGAATCGAGGTTGCTTTCTACTTCCTCTCAAGCACCTAAACACAACATTGGAGCCTTATATGTCCTGTTTATTTGGGTAAATCCTCCTCCTACTCTTTTATATTTTAATCGCTCCAATTGTAGTTCTAATTGAATCATGAAAAGTTGTGTTAACTTTTCCTGCTAAAGCCTAGTATTTAGTAGGAATTGTGTGGGAAACCTTTCATAGTACTACTCTTATTGTTAGATTAGAGATTTATTGTTGAAACCTATTTCGTATGCAACGTCAGGAGTAATTGATTGTTATGTATTTTTTACTTTTCGCAAGTAACTTGGCCAAAGCTTGTGTTTACCGCTCTTTATATTTTATTTCATTATTTAACTCAACATAAAGCTTAACTTGTTCTTAATCATCAAGCGTGCAAAAACCCTCATCTAAATCATATTTTCATATATGTCATGCATCAGTTAGGCACTCAAATCTTTATGTTGAGTTATTGGAAACAATCTTGCCATTTAATGAATCATGATTCTCTAGAGTTTCTTTCAAAAAAATTTTAATTAGAAAGCCATAAATAAGCAAGTTCGGGGATTGCTTGCAAACGTTGTCTTTCAATTTCTTGTTCTGCAGCACCTTTGATGTTTTGGTACAATTCTGGCATGTTCATTGAAGGTCCTTGCAATCCGATGCTAAGCTCAGTTAAAGTCTTTCTACAGTTCATGTTTAGAATGGAGATATGCGTATCCATATCTTGAGGACGCTGGACTTGAGGCATGGGCTGTGGACATTCTTGGCTGGGGTTTTTCTGATTTGAGTAATTTTTTCTCTTGTGGTAGCTTGAGCCGTACTTCTTGATCATTTGGACTGATAAAAATTTATCATCGATTCTTATAAATTCTTACCTGAATCCTTCTTGATTTGTGCATTTCTAGAAATGCTTCCATCAACTGGTGTGGCTGCAAAGCGTGAGCACCTTTACGAGGTAGCTCTAACTATTAATTTTCAATTTTGTTTGATTATATGTGCTGCTGCTGTTTTCATCTAATAGGTTTTGATTCGTGTCGACATAGATATTATTTGTTTTTTCACTCTTTGTGTGGCATTTTGATGCAACTTATTTTTTGACAAAACAAAATTTATGGTTTTTGAAAGCAAGTGACGATCAAATGTGCACCTGCATCAATCCTTAACATTTCTCGTATGAACTCAAATCATTAAATGAAATCTAGCTTTAATAGACTCCAATCACTTGAACGATTTATGCAGCGTGTAGGATATGTTTGCTTTCTGCACATGTTGTCTATACTTAGCTTTCATTGCTTGAAGTTATACATGCCTAGATTGTTGACCTTTGTCTGTGTCTCGCAGCTGATCCGAGCAAACAATACAAGTAGGAAGCCCAACTAATAAGATGTCTTGTAAATCTAGCTCAAAACTCCTTAATTGCGATCGAAGTTGCTCAAATGTCACCAGCTTGCAAAGTAACTTGCGCTGATGTGTTTAGAGTGTCGAAATCATCAAAGATGCACTTATGCTCATTTCGATTGGACATGATGAAAAAACGTCGAACATTGGATGCGACGTTGCGTGAAAGTCACCATAACATTATTCTTTCGCAAAAAAAATTGCATCGACTTGTCCAAAACATCAAAATTACTTAGAGAAGACATGTATATTCCTTGGATCGCTACATGAATATAAAACATAAATTTTACATTCATGCAAGGCAATGAAATACTTTTCGAAACATTTACAAAGTTCAACACAAGTGAGGAAATTTAAGAGAAAGAGTTAATAATAATAATAATAATAATAGTAATAATAATAAATTCTAAGTTAATTTAATCCTAAATTTTATCCAAAGCTTGCGTGTCATTTTAAAATCCTAAAATCCCACTTACATTTTAGCATAAAGGCATGTCCATCACATACGTTACCATGTCGCACCAATGCAATCTCATTTGCCCTGATTCTGAAATATATATTTTTTGGGACATTTGAGTCAAATCACAACACAATATAGATGAAAACTTTGAAATAGGCAATGGGTCTACGAATCTGCATTAGGACTGCACCCAGCCCGTATCCGGAAGCATCTGTCTCCACAATGAAGGTTTGAGTGAAATCTGGCAAGGCTAGGACCAACACTGTAGTCATCGCCTTCTTCAAGCTCTCAAATGCTGATGTGGTCGCCTCCCCCCATAGGAACCCATCCTTCTTCAACTGTTCAGTGAGTGGCCATGCTATGGAGCTGTAACCCTTCACGAACCTCCTGTAGTAACTCGTCAGTCCTAGGAATCCCCTCAATTCCTTCAAATTTTTAGGCGCTGGCCACCTTATCATTGCTTCAATTTTGGGCTGATCTGCTGCAACTCCCTTTTTTGACACCACATAGCCCAAGTACTCTACACTGGCTTGTGCAAAGAAGCACTTCTTCAAATTAGCCCTCAGCTGATGCTCCTGCAGTACCTCTAAAACCCTCTTCAAATGCTCCCAGTGATCCTCTTCTGTCCCACTATGGACCAGGATGTCATCAAAGAATACCAGCACAAATCATCTGAGAGAAGGTTTGAAAACCTTATTCATAAGGGTCTGGAAAGTAGCTGGAGCATTGGTGAGGCCAAATGGCATCACTAGGAACTCCTAATGTCCTTCGTGAGTTCTGAAAGCCGTTTTGGGTACATCCTCCTTCATTTAGATCTGATGGTAATCCGATTTCAAGTCTATCTTGCTGAAGATCATGGTTCCAATCAGTTCATCTAGCAGTTCGTCAATGACTGGTATAGGAAACTTCTCAGGTACAGTTTCCTTGTTGAGTGCTCTGTAGTCCACACAAAAATGCCAGCTGCCATCCTTCTTTTTCACCAACATAACAGGGCTAGAAAAGCGGCTAATACTGGGTCTGATGATCTCTGCCTCCAGCATCTCTCTAATCAACCTTTCTATTTCATCTTTTTGGAATTGAGGGTAGCGATAAGGTCGGACACTGATGGGAGACACTCTCTCCTTCAACACGATGGCATGCTTCTGCTCCCTCTGTGGTGGAAATCCCCCCCTGAGGTGGCTGAAACACCTCTTGGAACTGTTGAATCAACGGCTGAATGGAGAGGGGTATGTCTCCTCCCTCCTCCAATCTTGCTCCCTCCAAACTCTGAAACTCCACCAGCCAACTGGATATCTCTCACCATCGTTTTAAGAAAAACCAGGGATTTGGAAAGCCCTGCATCCCCCTTAATCACTACCTTCTTGCCATCCACCATCAACTCCATCGTGAGTGCTCCCCAATTCACTTTGGTATCACCCAAAGTTTGCAGCCATTTCATCCCCAAGATGGAGTCCGTGCTCCCAAGCTCCAGTGGAAGAAAGTCCTCCCTCACCTGTATCCCCAAGATCGTCAGTTGCACTCCTCTACAAATCCCCTAGCCTTTCTCCACCTTCCCTGTGCCCATCATCACCCCGTAAGATCCGGTGTCCACCAATCTCACTCCCAGTTGGTCGACGACCTGGGTGGAAATGAAATTGTGAGTAGCCCCACTATCAATCAGCACCACAACCTCTCGGTCCTCGATTTCTCCCTTCACCTTCATATTGTGATTCATAGTGAACCCTACTACTGAGTTCAGGGAGACCTCAGCCAGATCCAAGTGTAGCTTCTCCTCCATCTCCTCCTCTGTCTCCTCCTCACCTCCCTCAGTTTCCTCGTCATCGCAGACGGTGAGAACCTGAAGAGTTCAGCCCTTGCACCAATGTCCTGGTGTGTACTTTTCATCGCATCGGAAGCACAACCCCTTGGCCCTCTTTTCCTGCATCTCTTTCTCCATCAGTCGCTTAACGTTTCCTCCATTTCCTCCTGTCTTCTCCTTGGTATCCTCTTGATTCCCTCATGTTGCATGGCCTTTAGGTGCGAGGTGAGTAGTCGTCATCCTGTACGTGCCCCCGGTGCTGCTACTCCTGGCTCCTTTCACCAAATTCCTCTGATTTTCCACCAGTTGGGTCAACTTCATGGCCTCCCCCAAGTCACGGGGCATCAACACCTTCACTGCTGCTCGGATCTCTGCCTTTAACCATTTCATGAAATTCCCCTCCAACACTGTATCTGAGAGTCGCTCCACCCTACTAGCTAAGTGCTCAAACTACTCCTGGTAATTTGCTACAGATCCCTCCTATGTCAAAGCAAAGAACTGCTCATAGAAGTCTCCTCCCCGATCGGTTTGGAAACACTCTATTATGCATTCTTTAAATTCCCTCCAGTTCCTAGTCGGCCTCCGTTGGTCTCTCCACTGAAACCACGACAGGGCTTTCCCTTCCAAGCACAATCCCGCTGCTGTTAGCTTCTCCTCCTCCATCAACCGGTTGACGGCAAAGTACCGCTCTACCTTGTAAATCCATCCATACGCATCTTCTCCTTCGAAGATGGGCATCTTCAACTTTCTCACCTTCTGGTCACCACCATTTCCCCTGATTCTTCCATAACTTCCCCTTTCCCAAGTGCTCGGTCCACCCCATGTGTCCCGCTCTTCCCTTGCTCTTCCATAGCCCAAACTCCCTTCAAAATCCCCCCTTCTGTCTTTAAAATCAGCACCACGGCGGCCGTAGTATCCCTCTCGGGGTTCCCCATAACCTCTTCTTTCTTCCCTCTGGATAGGCTCCAGATTGGGTCTTCTTCCTTCCCCTTCCATGATCTCCACCTCATCTTCCTCTTTACGGATTTCGGAACTCTTGTTTTTTTCTTCCACCCCTTTGGCCACTGAAGCCGTTGTCTGATTTGAATCTCTAACATTTTTATCATCATATCTCGGAGGTCGGCGACTTGTCCCTCCATGTAAGAAATCCTTTCCTCCACCGTAGTTTTGATTTGATTCATCTCCCCTTCAAGTCTTTCCTCCAATGCATCCACCTTTTTGGCCGCCATCGCAACCCGGTTTTTGTAGATTCACAAAAATAGGATTTTGGAGTAAAAAAACAACAACTTCTTCGTTTTCGGGGCAAAAAACTGCTGCTGGAATTCGTCGAAAACAGCCCTCCATCAGTCCCGAGACTTGCTCTGATACCAATTTGATAGGAAATACTTGAGTTCGCAAGTAACCCTAAGGTAATACTTGAGTTCGCAAGCAAACCCATCACTAATTGGAAGAAAACAGCGAGAATAGCATAAAAATTGGGCAAAATCAGCCCCAAAACGAAAGGTTGCAATCAACGAAATAATGCAAAACACACACGAAAGCAAGATACAAGTGATCCCTAATTTGAGAGGAGGATCGTCTCTTCTAAATCTCTAGACAAGAGAGTTTAGAGCCCAAGCACCAAGAAACCCTAATTCCCAATCAATCCAAACATGACCTCCCCTAATCCCCTCATGCACTTTAATACAAACACTTTCCTAAACTAATTTCCCTCTCAAAACGCTAGCATCTCCTATATTCAAATTTGAACCTCACAAGGATGGGCGGGCCCCACCTTAATTGGCAGAATATGAGAGGAGGCGGGCTCTATTCCACCTCCTATAATAACATTGAGCCGGCCCCTTGGCCGGCTGGGCCGGCTCACTGTGAGGCGGCGTAACACACTAACTTCCTCTTTCTCTCTCTCTTCCTTCCCTTCTCTCTCTCTCTCATATAAAAGAGAAAATTCAATAGAAGAAGAGAAAATAGAGATTAAAAAAAAAATGTTGTTTCTATTCTCTCAAATTTCTTGCTTTGTTGTCCCACCTTGTCGTAAGGTATGACACAAAATCTCAAAATTAAGTACCTATCTGTATTTTTTCTTACGCTGTCCAAAATTTTGTAAGTACTCATGTACATTAATCAAATAAAGCGAGAAAATTTTGTGCTCTCTCGTGTAGGTGATAAAGGTCTTGTTTAGTTGCTATATCTTCAAGGTCCTCTTATTAAATTTTGACTTTTTTATCTTTTTTTTCCCTGTACATCTGAACAGTTTGCATTCTCATAGTTATTTACGTTTACATATTCAATGTTATTTATTCTTTTCTTTGTCTGGCAGCATAAATATGCATTCTAAATATGAAAAAATCTTCAAGATGCCTTCAGATTTTTTTTATCATGTATTTAATATCTTATCTTTCATTATCTCAAATGCTAATTAATCCAATAATTTGCACCTCAGCTTTGGAGAAGACACGTGGAGCGACCGATGGTTTTAGTAGGTCCAAGTCTTGGAGCTTCCGTTGCCATTGACTTTGCAGTGAATCATCCTGAAGCAGTATTAACAATCCTTGAATATGCTTTAGAGATTGTTTTATAACCGCTTTTTAAATGTAATCTGTTAAAATTTTTAACTGCTGAGAAATTTCAACTCATTTTGTTGGCATTACACCACCTTCCAACAACTGTTTCATTTTATGAAATGTTTATGTAAATAGCATTATAAATTCGTTTAAAGTTATCGTAAGTTTTTCTTTTGACGTTTTGCAGGTTACAAGGTTGATCTTGATTGATGCAAGTGTATATGCAGAAGGCACCGGAAATCTCAGTAAATTATCCCGAGCAGTAGCATATGCTGGGGTGAGACGTGTTTCAACTTCAGATTTTTATGGATTAGTGTTTCTGAAAGCCTATTTCGCAACTATTATTTTATATTTCTGAAGTAAATTTGTTTTTCACACACTTTTAATGAACACCCCCTTAAACATCAATTGTGTGGTCTGTTCTAAAATATGATGCATAATATGACATGCATATTTGGTGTTGAAGTGATTTGACTTGAGGAATTGAGGATCTTTTATCTTTCTATGATAAGTTTGGAATGATGCATTCAACTAATGTTGTTTTCTTACATTTGCACTCATTCCAACACCAAGTTAATTCATCTTTGGAGCCAAGTTTGAGATACTGTTTGCTCAAGTTTTTTCTACTTTTTCCAGGTGTCCTTATTAAAGAGCATTCCATTGCGACTTTATGCCAACATATTAGCATTCAAAAAAGTTTCAATTGGCCGTTCACTTGACGGGACAAATGTAAGAATAATCAGCTGTTCTTAGTGGAATGTATTCGGCAATGCAGACATATACATTGCTATTTTTCACCGTTTCATAGTTATGTGCTTTTTTTTTCTTTCAATGAGAGCTTTCTTTATTTTTTTTTTTTAAATTTGAATTATCTATTTTTGTAAAATGTCGTGTAAAATAGGTATTGAGCGTCATAGCTTGCAACTGACTGATTCCTAATTGATGTTATGTAGTAAGTATTGGGTATCAATGCTAAGAGGGCGTTGACGATAGGGCGTCTGTCATCGATGTTAAGACGACGTTGGACAAATAGAGCTGTCAAGTTGTGGGTATAGAAATTACTAGCGTTGAGCATTAATATCAAGACAGTGTCATAATTTGATGTTGAGATGGTTTTGAAATGTCATTGTTGTAACGACGTCAGACTTCAATGTTGAGATGACATCAGGTATTATTGTGAAACCAAAATCACAATCAGCCAAAGAAAAATGAAAATGAGAATATTCGTTGAATGGGGTATTGACTGCGAGTTATTGATTTGGTGTTGTGGATATGAATACGAAATTTAGTTTTATATATTTTAAATAAATAAAAATTTAGAATGCAAGAAATTATATTTTTAAAAAAATATTTAAGACACGCGTGTCCAATTTGTGTTTAATTTTTTTAATCAAACACATTTTAAACGTGTCTGGCGCCTGTTAGAGGTATGTCAGCGCATCATAGCTTGCAACTAACTGATTCCTTTTTTCTTCATGCAATTCTTCTTCTTCCTCTTGTGTGCCCCTTTTATGTTTTATTGTATACACCTAGTATTAGCGTAGCAACGTTAACTATTTGATGTAAACTTTTGTATGGGCATGGACATAGGTCATCTAAAATATAATACTTGGAATTTTGTTGGAAGGAACATATCTCAATGCAGCAAAATTAAAGAAAAATCAGCATCTTCTTCCAATTTCTCGTTGATTTATGCTTTTTGTTTTCTTCTCTATGACGTCTAAGACCATAGATATTTCATTGAAATATAAATTGCCTCTACGATTTTTCAGTTAAAGTTGAAAAGCTTCCATCTCTATTTCAGATCGGTCGTCTACACTGCTTACTACCCTGGTGGGAGGATGCGACTATTGATTTTATGGCCGGTGGAGGTTACAATGTCAGACATCAAATAAAGCAGGTAGTTCATTATTCCGAGTCTAGTTTGCTAAAAATGCTTACACATTTTAAAATCTTTTCAGGTTTCACGGATGAATTTTACTGCATGTGGGTTTGCGTGCATATTTGTATCCCACAATTGGAACTAGAAAAATTTTAAAAGCATGCCTGGTTGTATTTATTCTAACACAAAATCCGAGATGTGGACATTATACTTACTGAAGTAGATTAAGGCTTCGTTTGGGACGACTTTTTATTGCTTTTTAAAACAGAGTTTTACTACAAAATTTTAAATTTTGTACAAAAATTTTATTTTAAAAAGCAATAAAAAAGTTGTCCCAAATAAAGCCTAAATAAGACTACAAACAACCGAAGAACTGAGACAACGAAATTTCTCTCCAAAAAGGAAGTTTCCTGTCTATTGAAGGCGGGATGCAAGATTTGCAACTGCATACTCTGCATTGATTCTTGTTGTGATATTCACACTGCATGTTTTATGTAGGATAAACTCTTTACTTTGCTAACATGAACATGTTCTCCTTGATATCATAATGTCAGAAACATTTTTGCAAATTATGGAATTTTTACATACCACTTTTGATGGAGACATCAGTTGGAAAGTCTACCGTCGACGTGGCCGTAGATCTACGGCCACGATTTACCCGATGTATTTCTGATCTTAGTATGATCATTTTATTTTGATGTATTTTTTTATTCCTGCATTTTTCCCTTTTTACCCTTCTCTCTCTCTTTCTCTTCACGCTCTCATGCAAGAAGAAGAAAAGAAGCACAAACTAAATTTTCATGCAATAATTCATTAACCTCATACAATGAGACATGACCCCTATATATAGGTCATGAGATACAAGTAAATAAAAGCTAACTAATGACTAAATCGCCCTCGGGGCCCCATCATAACTCACTCACACACAAGGGTAAAACAGGAATACTGAAAATTGAAAATGCATGAACTACTAAAAATATAAGCTCTGAATCGTGGCCATCGATCGGCGATGCTTCCGGCGAAACACGTGTCTGAACCGTTGATCGATGACCTCATCAGATATGTTTCAAGTCATTAATAAGTGCACTCGTTTTAGATATCTTGAGTCTATTGTTCAGAGTGATGGAGAAATATATGGGATATTATTAGTAGAATTCAAGTTGGATGATTGAAGTGGAGTAATGCTTCGAGTTTGTTGTGTGATAAAAAAGTATCACTCAAACTTAAAGGAAAATTTTATAAGACGGTTGTGAGACATGCAATGCTTTATGGCGTAGAATGTTGGCTATTAAAAGAGAAGCATCATATTAAATTAAGTGTTACTGAGATGAGGATGCTCAGGTGGATGAGTGGCTTTACTCTTAGAGATAGGATACGAAATAAGCATATCCTTGAAAAGGTTGGAGTAGCTCCAGTGACATATAAAATTAGAGAGTGTCTCCTTAGATGGTTTGGTCACGTAAAACGACAGCCTTCCGATGAAATAGATGTATTAGATTTGACCTATGTTAAGAAAGGTAGAGGTAGGCCTAAAAGGCTTAGTTAGAAAATATTAGAAATGGCATTTCTTTATTAGATTTAAATAAGAATTTGACACTTAACAGGAGAAAATGGAGAAAAATGATTCATGTAGATGATCCCATATAGTGGGATAAAGGCTCGATGTTGTTGTTGTTGTAAGTCATCAAATAGATCAGCATAACAAAAAGAAAACTAGCAACACATATATAGTTATGAAAAAATAATAAAGCAATCATAGATAAAGAACATTAAGATTTTCACCAAATTGTCTTTCACAAAAAAAAAACCAAGTAGAAAGAGAAAATCTCACCAAACATGGAGCAATTCCTATCAAAAAGAAGGCCAGAGAGAAAAGAGAAGTATTTTTTTGTCTCTTACCACATCTCCAGGAACAATAACAATAGGATCTTCTATATTTTACATTGTCTCCCTCTCTCTCAACTTTATTTGTCAACGAAAAGGAAATTCAAATGATAGATTGCTTATTGCAGGAGAGGTAACTTAACAAGCTCGACCCTCTCTCTCTTGCAACTGTTGTTTAGAGGCCATCGATTCATTGATTGAAGGTGTAAAATCCCAATTTGTTAAATCAAAAGAAAAGCGAATTGGTAGTAGTTAGTTCAGTAGAACTGACTATTTGTCAATTCGTTGTTATAAAACAGGGGCAGGGAGGAGTCAAATGCAAGCAGAGAGAGAGAGGAAGCAAGCAAGTGCGAGAGGAAGCAAGAGGAGCGGAAGAGTTAAAAGTACAAGCAGTATGAGCGAGAATGAATGACGCAAAGAGAGAGTACGCAAGCAAGAGTCAAAATGAGGATAAGCACACACGGGAGAAAGTGCTCAAGCTACAACGAGATATCAAGCAAGCGACTGAGATGTCCAACATTTGCAACTCTTTTTTAGGAAAATTGAAAAGAGCTTGGCAAGCCACACAAAACCAAGCCAAATTCAAGCAAAATATTTTTTTTTTCTTTTTTGGTCATCTAAAAATTGAGGGTTTTAGTTAGAAACTTTAGCTAGAGGTGTTTGATCTATATGTATTTTTGGTAGGGTTTAGAGAAAAAGTAAATCAAGAGGGGCAATTGTTGATTTTACAAAGGAAAAAAAATAAGTTGTTTTAAAATTAGACAAACTCATAATTTATTTTAATACAATGAAATTAGATAATTTTCTTATTTATCAAGTCAATGAAATATGATATTTAAATTTTATGTTGTTTCAATGAAGACATCTAAGTGAAAGTATATTAAGTAAAGAGACTACATGTGTGTGTGTCACACACGCGTGTGTAAGAGCATGTGTAAACAAATACACTTAGGTATAAATTAATTAAATTAAAAGATGTGAATTGAAATTGTGTAAAGTCTAATAGGTAATTTAATACTAACAATGTAATTTAAATATAAAATGAAGCACTAAAAACAAAAAGTTAAATAAGAATTGAAATAAAAATTATAAGGTTAGCAATCTAATTGTACTTATTTGTGAAGTATTTGTAAACACTAGTTATAAGATATGCACATAGATTAGGTAAAGATTAATTAAGCATAATTTATGTACTTAAATGAAAAATAATATTATTATTAAATAATGAGATAAATTTTTAGGAAAAAGAAATATTTATGGCTTAAATAAAAGTAAATAAAATAGACATTTCATATGAATGATATAGGCAATCAACTGGAAGAGGTGGAGTTTGAGGATTAAGGAGGCAAGGCAAGTCATCTAAAGTGGGGGTGTGCACTCATATTTCGAATTATGATAATAATATTAGTTCTTCAAAACCAATTGCATTAAATGAATATTGATACTAATTCAGTTAATAGTTACTGCAAATTCAACCAAGATTTTTTTAATAATAAAATTATTGTTCATGCTAAAATTGATGATAGTAATCATATCATATTTTAAATAAATTATGCCATACAATGTCTAAATAGAAAGTTATTAAATGAGATGAAAAATACAAATAAATGATTTATATAAAAGTATTTGTACATATAACTGATATAAGTTGACATATGAAGTTTACATCTATATGTTAATAACTAGGGACACTAATATACACACGTGTAAATGGAAAAGATTTAAAAAATAAAATGAAAATAGAGGTACATTTAATAGAGCAATTTAGATTGTGGCTCATGTGACGATTGTTTTTATAAGAATGTGAAAAACATGATATGATATGACATGGTTATATATAAAGGAATGTGACACTTGCATGGTCATTGATGTATAGGACTAGGATGCAGTAAGAATTTTCACGATTTCTTGATAAAAACATTATGATTAAAACTATTAGCAATTTAAAACGATAAAATAAAACAAGAGAGGGGTGCCTACGTTTAAGCAAGTCGCTTGCCAAATGCTTGATTTATCAAAATAACGTAGAATATCAATAACATGCAAATAAGTAGCTTTCAAACAAAATCCCTACGCTAACAATGAGATTAGAAGCACAGAAACCAAACTCAAGTCCTACGATTACTAGGCTTGGCAGAAGTAGATGACAAGATCTTCATGAATCAATCAAATCACAAGAGCAAGTTAGACAATGAAGATACAATAGAAGGAAGATTGGTAAACCTTTATTGTGGTTGGGTTGCAATCCTCCACTGAACGGTGCCAAGTTGCTCTTCTACGGCTTCGACAAGGGTATCCAGAATGCGCTCCACTTATTCCTCGACGGTGTGGTCGATATTAGGATTGACGTCGAAGAAGGTATAGTGAAGGATGTTCGCAAACCTCTGTTCGTCATAGGCAATGCCATAATCAAGATCCGGGTCGGCCATTCATTGGCTTTAGAAGACGATTGTGTAGTTGAAGATCGATCGACGTTGCTCCCCTTGAAGACTACTCTTGAGAGGGAGGAGCTTACCTTGAGAAATCAAGAGGGGAAGAGGGATAGGGGTGGCCGGCTAAGCATGAGAGCAAGGGAGGGAAATTTGGTTCAGAATTTTGGAAGAGAAGGTGGAGGGAAATTAAGTATTTGTTTCCCCAATTAATCCTTTTACTTTGAGAAAGGGTTAGAGGGCTTAATTAGGGAAGGGTGGGGCAGCTAAGGAGGTGGGAGAGGATGTTTGAATTATTTCCAAGAGGGGAAGGGGGCTTATGGAAATAATGCCATGGGAAGCACATGATGGGGCCGGCGGCTTCAATAGGATGGGAGGGAATTTGTGGAGAGATATTTGGGTTTCTTAATTTAGAGTTAGGAATTAGGAAAGATTTAATTAAATCCCATCAAATTTGAAATTCAAATAAGACTTAAATTTAGTAACTTTCCTAAAATAGGATCTCTTAATTAGGAAAGAATTTTCATATTCAAATTAATTTGAAATTTGAAATGAAGCCTTCCCAAATTAAGGGGGGTCATTTATGGAATGATTTCAAGGAGGGGGATTTGAATTTTGGAGGGAGAGAGAGGGGGATAGGGTTAGCGGGTTGGTGGGGAATTGGTGTGGGATTTCGGTGGGGTGAAGGGAGAGGGGTCGGGTGAGGGTGGAGGGGGAGTTGGGGTTAACCGATGGTAAGGTAGAGTTATATGGTGGCCGGCGGCTTACGAAGATGGAGAGGATTTCTAGGCAGCGGCTAGTTGAGGGAGGAAGGAGGGGAGAAAGAGGTAGAGAAGGTAGAACCACGAACCCGGCCATCTCCAAGGTTGGTGGGTGATCCGACTTCCCTCTCTTAGGGATTTCTCTCTCAAACACTTTCACGATCTCACAAAGAAATCAAAGGGGAAGAAAATTCATCATTCATTCATTAACATGAAAAGAGAACAATGGGGCTATATATAGCCTTGTACAAAGACTCAAAAAAATAAAAGACAACGACGCCCACTGGGGTTACATACGACCTCCCTTAAGGGGTAAAAACGAAAACACTGATAAAGCAAATACAACATGACATAATAATAAAGAACATAAATAATACAACTCAGAAATACATCGACTCAATCGTGGTCGTAGATCAACGACCACGTCTCTCATAGACTTTCCAGGCTCTGATGTCCCCATCAGTCATATTTGAATATTATGAACTATCGATTGATTTATATTGATGTATTTATTATGAAAAGCCTGCATATTACTTTCTGGATTATGTTACATTACTAAAATTTAGATATATAATGTGTCTATTAAATAATGATAACACATCATTATTATAATTAATATTTTCATGATAAGATACTAAGAACTAAATAAGTGGATGAAGAAAATCAATTTATTGTAGACATGGCACTACAAGATAAAGGTATTTACACTAGATTTTTATAGTTTTGATTTAGAAAGAATTTCATGATTTACTAGTTGTTAGAATATATTTGAAGTTTTTATTATGAAAAAGTATGAACAATCATTTTGATATTAGCGATGCTAGTAGATGAATATTAAATATTTGTCTGATCATCTGTCCCAGCCTCGATATTCTGAACTTCCAAGCCAATTTCTGATAGATTGCACGTTGTAGAGTTGCGGGGTACAAAGTAATACGATTAAAGCTTGTAAAGAAATTGCTTAAATGCCCTCGCTCATTTGATATAATTACTACAAAAAGGAACATGTCAAGTCTATTAAAAGGCAATAGGAAAAGATGGGATATTAGTAGGATGATATTTTATGCAAGAGAATTTTGCATAGTTAATGAAAAAGCAAGAGGCAAACGCGATTAGTTTAAACCTCAATAGTAAAAATAACAATGCTCGCAAAAATAATATAGGAAAAAACCTTCCGGATTGCTAATCAAGTTAGATTGAGTACCTTTTCGGGTTTTGTCTCCACTCTAAAACGGATAAGACCTATACAAAGAAGAATTGGAACAGCTAGTGATAAAGACAGAACAAGAGTTGGCTTTCTGGAAACAAATGCTCCATATTTCCTGCGCCCAATGGGCTTTCAGCAAAAATAAGAAATCATGTTATCTTCGGCAATAAGATTTTTATCCAAGAGAGCTGAAATAACCTGAAAATTCTGGCCATAAAATCCTGAACAATGGCAGGTTGAAGAACTTTCAACAAAATAGACCATTTTGACATCTATAAACCATTAAAAAAATTAGGTCAGGCAGAATCAACAACTGGAAAACATAATTGATGCTTTCCAGAACATTTAAACTTTCTTTTAAAATGGTTGAATAGTGTGGATGACAATGCTCTGAAGGCAAGTTGGAATATAGACAATTCAAAAGAAAAAAAAATAGAGCGGTCATAGAACTTACATGCATAGGTGGGTTAGTGTTTTGCTGCTTGTACCCAGAAAGAAGCTCATTATCACCACTGTCCTTACAAAAGGGTTCTGGTTCAGAAACGGGTCCTCTTTCTCTTTTCCTAAACAAGAACCCCCATAGCAACAATGCAGAAATGGCTGTAATGTACAGAACGGCTAAAGAGAAATCTACACATTTCACCTGAAAAAATTAAAAGCTGAACAATCTTCATAGAAGTCTCCAACATCTCTTTTACTCCAAAAGGAAAACTAAACAACGTCTTAAGCTACAAGTGAAATATTCAATATGCTCTTCTCATCTTTAAATAAATTAGAAAGTAATGTTTGGATGAGCTTTCCAGGGTTAGTTTCTAAAATATTCTCACAATTGCAACATAAATGTCAATTTGCATCACTAATTAGGTATTAAGCAATGTCTGAACTATCCTCGACGAGAGAATCAGTAATAGCTCAAACTCTTAACTATCGAAATATGGTTCGCTTTGGCCTAAGAACCTCACGGTTTTTTGTCATGTTGGTGTAACTTCTCAGTAGGTCACCCATCCCAGAATTGCTCTAGGATGATCACGCTAAACTGCAAAGTTTCTTACAAAAATTTCAACCATTACACAAAAAGGCGCCGCGATATTTAAGAGTTTAGCATCTTTTACTTTAGAGGTTTCACAGAACTAACCCATGGGATAGCCAACAACGCATAAAGACCACAAAATCATCAATTTATCATGACTTACGCTTGCAGAACCCATTGCAACTTTGCATGAATCTTTCTCAAGTAGATCTAGAGGTGCAGAATCAGAGCATGTAGATGAAGAAGAGCAATCACCACAAGAACAGCCCAACAAGGAATCACCACAAGAATAGACACTTGAGTTAATGGGCTTCATCCCAGATGATAAAGGAGCATTGGTTTGAAAGTCAATTTTGTACGGTGACCCTGGTGTATTCAATGCTGCTTGCCTCCCAAGAAAAGCTAAAAAATCTACCATTACGCACCACAGCATCAGGGGTCATAGTAGAAATAATAAACATTAAGAGCAAATTTAGAGCAGAGGAAGCAATATATATAAATGGTATTTCTATGCATCTCAGAAAATGAGAATTGCGAATATATATACAGATTCATTATTTAGGAACCAAGTATATGACTATTATGCTACCAAATGCAAAACCATTTAGCAAATATGTCATCTAACTAGCAGTGTACATAGGTTTGTCAGATCTCATGGACTCCGAAGAAATGAAGGACAATAAAGCGAAGATGCCAAATTTATTGTTAAAAGTTGATGTTCATCAATTGTTTATGCACGTATTAAATTTCAATATGAATTAGATTTTGTGATAAGGAGCATGGACAATAGGCTAGGATTAGATTCATCCTAATTTTAGGAGTGTAATCTGTATGCCACGAAAATATGAAGTATTTACATATTTAATACCCCATTCTTACTATTGAAAAAATAACCATTCAATTTTTAAAACGCAAAAAATATCATATTCTTTAATTCTCTTTGTTCCTTCCCCATTCAGCAACTATGCCGCCGTCCAATGATGACCACAAAGAAAAAGATCACTGACAAATTTCACCCAGCATAACACGACCACCCGTGAATTGTCTTCATCATTTCTTTGGTGTAATCTGCCAATCTCCACCGTCATTGATTTATTTTCCTCCACCACTCCATTATCACCCTTGCCTCTCAACATGGCCCTATGCCTCCGCTTCAAATCCCACACATCAACCTCTCCTCTGCCTTTACTAAATGAGTTGACATTTTGATCCAACGGCTAAGATGGGCATAGGTGGGATGCTCACCTGAATCACACTAATCTCCTTCCATATTTAGATGGCTGATTTAGGAAGATTATATTAGAGCAATTATGCATTATTTTGTTATTTGTTTCTTTATTAAGATATCTTATATAGATCTATAAATAGGGATAAGTTTGTGCAATAAAATTAAGCATTTTCCCTCTCCAATTCTCTGAATTTAACAGATCTAACTCCTGATGCATGTTTCCATCAATTGGAAATTCGAATTTGTTTTGTTTCCTTTACTGGACTTCCATATTTATTTTATGCAATAATGGACATGTAAAGTCAAATCCTATGTATTAATTTATTTCATGTTTAAGCGTCCTAGGTGTATTTCCTATTGTTACATAACTCTATATGTTGTACGTCTTTACTGTTCATATCTTATTTTTAGTTTATCTTCATTATATTAAATTATGAGTTCAAATTCATTATTGATGGTGGATATCATAGGAATCTTGTGACTGTGACAAAGCTCGTAATGATTATCGGATTATATTACACGAAGCACAATAGTTATGTACAAATATTCTTTAATAAATATTAAATATATGATTCATCAGAGCTGAATTTTTCCAAGCTTAGCAAAATGATAAATTCTGAAAGTCTATACTCATCGGATATGCAAATTTTGCACATTAATATTGCCGTAGTAGTCCATTTTATAGTTTTTAATAGTTTTGATGTAACATGTTTATGGTGGTGAACCTATTGAAAATGAGTGGTATTCTCTTATAAAAATTGTGTTGGCTTGAGACAGGTCAGTTTATGGGCAAATTATTGCATCCGGTCACCGGACGGGGAAATAGGTTCGGGTATTAATAAGATATTATTTTAAATTAAGCGCAGAAAAAGTGCAGGAAAAGCGCAGGCAAAGCGCAGTCAAAATGCAAGTCAAAGTGCAAGTCAAAAGCGCAGTCAAAGCGCAAGTCAAAAGCGCAGGTGACGTGGCAAGTTTTTATTGGATGTCCGAACCTATCCTCCGCATCCGGTGACCGGATGCAATAATTTGCCCAGTTTATGGGTCCTTGTTGTTTCTTGTTGTTGTTATTGTTATTTGCTCAATGATTGGAATCGCTACTAAAGACCGTAGCTAGTTACCATTGATATGAGTCATAGATTTGCAATGCTGCAGTTCAAAGAAATTGATTGTGATCAAGTAGAAAAGGGCCAGTAGTTCACTATGAAGCAGGATTCCAAGGGCTGATTTTTGTTTTCTTTCTTGTTTCCTCGTAATCAGTGAATTGCATTGTAGCAAATATTAGTATACTTGTTGGCGAGCGATCATTGCACGTAAGAATGATTTTGAGTTGAGTAAAAGCAAATCAATTAAGTTTCAAATTTTAACTTGAGCCTAGTTCAAATCTAGTCAACCGTGTTCGATTTTGAGCTAAGTTTTGAGTTAAGCCAAGTAAATTCTATTCATTTTATAAATATTTTTTACTCTCACTCTCTTGAGTGTGTGTGGATGATCACTAAGTCTAATATCCACCAAATATATAATTTTAACTCAAGATATGTAGAAATAAGAAAAAGCAAAAATACAAACTCTTGAAGACACTTTAATCCTATTCTACCTAATCTTGAGCTAAACAATTTTGCACAGTGTACGGTGGATCTAAAATGTTAGTGCACAAGAGGAACATATATGCAATAATAGTAATTAACAGGAGATAGCATATTAAGGAGTCCAATAATATTTGTTATCATCAAAATCCCAGGACTTGGGTTCATATTTGCAATAATCTCCCCCTTTTGATGATGACAATAACATCGTTGGAAAATAACTATAAAAATGATTTTTTTTGTTATTTCTAAAACCCCTTACTAGTTGAAACTTTTGGAAAATAAGGAGAGTTTTTTTTTATATTATATATATAGAATATATATATATAAATATATAATTAGAGTATATATATATAGTAATTAGTATGTATATATATAATTTTTTTATTTTAAAAAGAGAGAATAAAAATGAATAAGAAGAAAATGAGCATCAAAATAAAAAGCATAATGAACATGAACGCATAAAAAAAAAATGCAAAATAGTATGACTGTCATAACTTAAACATAGAAGTGTAAACGAACAACAACATATCTAGCTCCGTTTTGGCATCACTAAAAAGGAGCAAAAACAACTAAACCAAAGACACCTAAAATAAAATAGGCATTTACACATAGCAGAAGACATAAAAACAATAACAGACCAATGGCCAGAGCACTAAAAATAAATAACTAAAATATGTAGGGTTCCTGATCAGGTGGAGATGGTAATAGTGATCATGGTTTAAGTTGCGCAAGTATGAGGCTCGCCTTGAGAGCCCGCCTTTGCGCAATTCCAGTAAAAAAACGCCTCGATGCTTACGCCTCGAGTTTTTTTTATGAGGCTTGTGCCATCAATTTGATTGAGGCCCGCCTCGCCGTCCTGGATGAGGCTTACGCTCGACGCTATACATATATTAAAACGTACTAAAATATTGAAGTAAATGCTCGACATTGACTCTAATTAGGAGAAGGAGTGAAAATGGGAGACAAGCAGTTCATCATCAATGACTGATCAAATGAAGAAACTTCCCGTAGTGATGACAGTGGTTGATGACTTATGAGTTCTATGTGATAGTCATTGTCTATTAATTTTTTGGAAATTAGAATTAAGTTTTAATGAAAAGAATTCTGGGATTTATGATAAGATAGAATTTTGAGTTGAACTATATTTCATGTTGTCTTATTATTGGGATATTTTGATTTCACTTCATATCTTATGCTTTTTATGTTTTATATTATTCACTCATTAGTATATAAAAAATTTATTATTTTATGTTTACGCAATCTTTTGATTTTGAGGCTTACGCCTCGCCTCACGAATGAAAAACGCCTCAATATCCGAATACGCAATTTTAAACATTGATAGTGATGGTTAGAAGAATTGTTGACTCGATGTGAATTGCACTCCAAGCCAAGCCATATCATTTTCGGGTTGTTGGCTCTGCTCTGCTACATAGTTATCGAATCGAATCTCCCACTGATCAAATCTTTGAAGTAGTGTATCATACTGGGAGGGCTGCTGAATAGGTGTTGGTGTTGGTGCTCATCCTCCCTCGGCTTCCTCTGGCTCAGGTCAACATAGTGAACATTTCTGCGACAAGCGCTATGAAGGATGTTGAAGTTTACTTAGGCATCTCCTATAGGTTTGTCTCTATTGCTGAAGTTTACTTAGGCATCATTGACATATTGGGAGCATGAGGCAGTATTGACTTTGGCAATTTGTGGCTTCTTTGAAGGTTTAGGAGTGCTTTTTTAGTCATCTCTCGTGATAGCGGGTACTGAAAGTTCGATAAAAGATGTTAAGTCTAAGTGAAATGTCCCTATGCATTTCTACGACGTTCTGGGAGGGTTGCTGAACAGGTGCTGGTGCTCATACTCCCTTGGCTTTCTCTGGCTTGGGGTCAACATAGTTAACATTTTTGCGATGAGGGCTATGAAGGATATGGAAGTTTTGTTAGTCATCTCCAGTAGGTTTGTCTATGTTGCTGAAGTTTGCTTAGGCATCATCGACATATTGGGAGCATGGGAAAGTATTGAAATTTAGCAATTCGTGGTTTCTTTATTGGTGCAAGTGTGCTTTTTTGGTCACCTCTTGTATTACGGGTACAACCTCTGTGATGTGAATAGATCGAGCCGGTCTCGGCTCATTCATTGTTTCTTCGAGTGGAGCTTTCCCTGGTTGCAGTTTTGGATTGGCGAGCTTGAATTCTTTAAGCTTTCCTTTCTTGATGAGTTCTTCGACTAGGTTTCGCAGGTGTCGGCATTCTTTAGTATCATGCCCTTGGTCCTTGTGGAACACATAATATCGAGTTGTGTTATAGAGTCGTTTGGATCTTCATATGCACCGGACCCTCAAAGAACTCCTTATTCTTGATTGCCTCAACAAGCTCGGCCATGAGTACTCTCAGCGGAGTATACATTAAGTTTCTTGAGGACAAGTGAGCAACCTCTCGGTGTGTCTTTCTAGATCTTGATGCATGTGGTGTTCAGCCTTATGGAAAAATGAAGACATGTGGAACGTCATAAGGATTGGGATACCTTTTTTCGCGCTGGAAGTTGGGTGCTCGATTTCTCTTCCCTTGAGATTTAATACCCTCTTGTGCCTTTATGGGAGGAAGGTTTCTCTTTGCAACAGGATGGTGGCATGAGACAATTGCAATAGGTTCAAACACTCGGTTGTATTCCTCAACATTGACATGGCTATTGGCAAGCTCCAAAAGTTTCATCAACATTAATGTAGAGTTTTCCTTCAAGGAATCTCCATAGGATCTTCAGTATGGAATTCTAGAGAAAAATTAGATTGTTTGATCGGTTGTATGAGTCTGAATTTCGAGTTTGAATATGAGTCGAACACTTTTCGTTTCCTTCCTCCTCTCCTTATAGGATTTGAAAGGAAACAGGAATGGGGATATTATACATAGTTGTCCCATCAGTTTATTTCGATAGTTTGGAGGTGTCGAGCACATCGGCGATCTGAGAGGGTGAGATGGACTAGGTCGAATATTGTGGTCGCCCCATCGAGGCGGTGAGAGGCGAGTGTTGTTTAGCTGCTGTGGATGGTAGATTGAGTAATCTGAGTCACCCTGTTGTGGTGAAAAGGCGAGTAACATCTGAGGATGTCTTTGGATCTTTTATGGAGAGTTTTTTGGGGAGAGGCATTGTATCTTGGTAGCTCCGATATGATAGATATGTGGATCTCAATTTTGGCTTAGACGAATAAGGGTTGCCTAGCTGAGAGGAACTTTTGAGGTCGCCCTCTTGTTGGCGATTGCTTGATAGTGGTGACTGACCTTGGTCCACTATGCTCAAGAGTTAAGATCATTCCGGCTCTTGAGTGATTCCCTTAAACGAGTAACTTCGAGAGTTGAATGCATCCTATATTCGCTCAACCCGAAGGTAACTTGCAGGCTACAAGACACCTACATAGGTATTCAAGAGTATACACCCGTTGCCTACTCTTTATCACCTGTGAGATTAGCCACTCAAAAAGGCTCAATATTTTGAATTTCCTCTATAGGCAATGCCCCTATAATTAATAGCAAAATCTCTTCAATCGAAAGATCTAATAAAGTATGAGGCACAACCAGCACTCTATCACACAGGATATTCCCATTCGAGCATCGAGAGAGCACCCACTATTACAAAATCTTTCATCTCTTGTCGAATGCCACATTAGGTTTCTTGAGTAAACACAGACTAAAGGCTCTCTCATAGTGCATGTCTTTTTTTTCCTAATAATGCTATTTCCAAATACTTAAATTTTTTAATTTTCTCTTTCCTACCCCAAATAGATGCACTTAAGAACTAGCATCAATTTCAGTAGAGGAGACCTCCACATTCTCTAATATTGGGTGCCAAACATCACTAGCATCTTTAGCAACATGCCAAGAGGCTCATCATCCTCATTAAGAAGCAGAACAATCCAAATAGAAGGATCGACACCACCATCCACAGTGGCAGTCTCAATATCACCAATCACCATAGTTAACACAACATGCTACAATCGCCACTCCAGAGCTAGCCCTACTCTTCTTCATAAGACGGGAGACATCGAGTTTGTTGGATTCTTGTGCGGCCTTGGAGTTGCCTTTAACTTCTCTACTCGATGAGATCCCAGTCACCTTCTCCATCCTCTTAGCTTATCCTTGATGAAAGCGATCATCTTCCAAGCCCTCACATGAGAGCAATCTATGTTAGGAAGGTTCATTTTCTCAAGACTCACAATATGTTAAATCACCGAAACAAAAAAAAGTAAAACTCACTTGGCACAAGCCCCTTATTTATAAATAGCCAATTGTAGGCTGGTGTCACATCACTTTGATTAATGTGAGGTTAACACAATCACTTAGGCTACATTAAAAATAGGTCAGTAAGTCTACATTTACTTTCCTCCATATTTGATAGTCACATCTAATATTATTCGCTTATCCTTTTCTCCACTCGCCTATGAAAGAGCCGAGTAAATCAGAGAACTAAATATATACTAACATATGCCTTCACCGGTATTTAGCACGTAGCCGACAAGTCATGATAGAGAAACTCGACCTCCAATGGGACCCATAGCTGGAACTGCCTAACAACACAAGAGGCGCACGATTTTTAGTAACTAATAATATTTTTTATTAATATAAAAGTATTCAAAATATATTTAAAAGGATATATTACAAAAAATAATGATCATAAATGCATAAATGTTTATACATATAGCATTCTGTGTGTTATGCATTAATGATTATATACATATATATTTAGACCGCAATGTTATTGATTAGCATAATTAATAAGTTAATGCCAATGAATGTAATCATATAGTGAAAACAGTACTACTATTCACTCTATACAAAATTGAAAACCAAAAGAAATGATGTATTGACGCATACATACCTCTGAAATTTTGAGCACTAGCGCCAATAAAATCCATTACTCGAGTATTCATGCTACCAAATTTTACATCTTTGCAAGAGTTATAAAACTTTTCCCCATAGGTATTTGTTATGAAATAATCAATTCCATTAACAGTCATGGTATTATTTACCTGCAAGTGTGAAGGGAAACATCATAAGAGATCATGTGACGATGGCTATTGTGCATTGAATGACAACAGAAAAGGCTAAGCATTAAAGCACTGTGAGGGAAGTAAGGTAGAACGTTGCATTTAAGAATAACATTGAGAAGTAATAGTAAGAGTTAAAAAAAATAGTTAACTAAAACCTGTTTAGTAGAAGTCACATTTATAAATAAACTCTGATTTGGAGAGCAGGAGAGTTCGCAGAAAAGATTTAAAAAGTTCCTCAAGCATGCCGGGCACCCTACAAGTAAAGGAACTGCCTGCATGAGGCGTCGAATAAGTCAATATGAAACCAAGAAACGCTTGACCATAAATATCTGCTTGCATGAGGCGTTGCATAAGTCAATATGAAATCAAGAAAAGATTGACCATATATATATATATATATATAACAGAGATACCCAATGACCGATGACCTTGTTGCTAGATAATCAGAAGATTACAGCAAGCTAGGAAAGAGTTAGAACTTTGATTAAGACAAATGTCCCATTGCATTGAGAACTGAAGGAGACACCAACCAAAACTCAACTGAGGAAAACAGCCTCCACCTACCCCACCCCAACCAGAACATTTAAGAAAAAAAAAAAAGACAAGTAAAAGGTGACATTTTGAATAGAAACTTGGCATTGACTATAGCTAAAAACTTACTTGCTGGACTTGATCACGCAATGTCTCAAATTGAGCTGCACTGCAGCAGACATTGCCGGTGATTGTAGGGCATAAACTCTGGATCTTAGAAGAGAGCAAATCATCTGGCTGAGAAATGAAAATATGTTTATATATACATAGTAAGCGATGGCCAAAAAATAAAGAGATATCAAAAATCAGTAAATCATAATTCTTAAGCCCAAACATCACCAGTGTAATATTGCCCAAATTTAGTATTGACCACAAAGTGACCAATTTTTAATGAACAATATTATACTGCCATACACTCAAGTTCCATGTCATATTATTATACTCTCCTACTCAACCGATCGGTTACCACAAACTTGAACAGCATTTGTGGGAAAGCAAATTTATTAAACAAGGAGAGCAGTGGAAAAAAAAATACAGTTTGTCTAACCTTGGTAGAAAGGCTGCCACTAGCACAATTCAAAAACTTCCCATCACTGCGTTGTGCACAAATACCATACATAGAGCAATAACCCTCTCTATGCACACCTCTGAAAAGACCGAAGGCCGTAGAAAAAAAGTCAGACATCTGAAAACATACTGAGAAAAATGGAAGATATATGAAAACCTTAAGATGGAATATAAAATGCAGCTAAATGGGACTCAAGATAAATAGTTGTCCATTTCATTGATATAAAAACAGGTCTAAAGCTCACTTCCAGGCCCGAACCTATTATTGGTAAGGAATAGAAGATTTGAGATAAGCTCAATTAAAATCATAAAAGGTCATCAACTGAGGAAAGACCACCCCCATCTAATTGGGCTAATGGAAAAAAGTAAATAACCTGAGAGATCAACCACAAGAAGAAAAGATTAGGGGGACATTTGAGATCACTATCTAATTTTGTTTTTTGTTTACTTTTATTTATGCTTTAATATGAAATATAAATATGTTTGGTATCCTAATTTAGTGGTACTTTTGTATTTATTGCATATTGCATAAAAAGGTGATGACAGACAGTGGCGGAGCCAGAAATTTTATTCAGGGGGGGCCTAAATTGCCCCCCTTGGCCCCCCCTTCCCTCCGCCACTGATGACAGATGGCAATGGTGGCAAACAGCAGTGGTAACTAATGGCCAGTGTAAGTGGGAAATGTCCAGGGTGATTTTCATTTAAGAAAATAAGACCTTAAAAAACCAAAAAGTTTTTTTGAGTATTTTCAAAAACTTTTTTAGTTTTCAAAAATAAAAATTAAAAAATAGTTAAAAGCCACAAACTAAATAAGTTTTTAAAAATAAAAACAAAGCTGAAAGTGTCCTAAACTACCCACAAAAGAGGAGAGGATATGATCTACAAAAATGAGGCCATAATGGCATGCAAAACACCAAGAAATAAGTAGTCACTCTTCGTCAACCAAAAATACAAAGAAATATCAGTTTATAGTGTCAAACTTCTCATTTTAAACCAAATTGAACTCCAAGTTTCTTGTAGCACCAAGGACAAAAAGAAATAATAGATGTCAAAAAATCCACCAAAGCCAACTCTTATAGAGAACACCAAACAAGAACACATGTTCTCATGTGGTCCTTGTGATGAGGACATTAGATTTCGACACGTATACCATCGGAGGAATCGTAGATCGACGGCTACGATTCAAAGTCTATATCTTTGAATTATTTTCATGTATTTTTTCTATTTGATATTTTCGGTTTACAAGTTTACCCCTGTGGGTGTTGAGTCATTGTTGTAGCCCTTGGGGCATATGAGTCTTTGTGCTAGTCTTTTGTTGGGAACTATATATTGAGGTCCTTATCTTTGTATGAGGTTAATGTTGAATGAATACAAATTTCATATTTTGAGTTCTTGCTTGTGAGAGCTTGAGAGGTGAGGATTAGCCTAGGAGAGGCTCAAAGAAATACCCAACAGCCCCCTTTGTGGGAGCTCTTGGTTTCTATCTTCTTCTTCTTCCAATTCTTCCCTTCTCCCCTAGCCGTCGGCTTCACTAAACCGGCCACTGACCGTCCAGCAGCCGCCCCCTCCCCTATCCGCTAGCTACTACGTCCCGACCCGCCCTCACCCGTCCACCTTTGATCCCCGCCTCCTCCACCAGAATCCGCCCAGCCGCTATCCTTGGATCCCCTCCGCCAACCACCTTGTCCCTCACATTAGAATTTGAAATTCAAATTCAAGAGAGCTGTTATTACTTTCCTCATTTGTCTCTTTGTTATTTGGGAAGTTTCTAAATGGAATTCAATGTGAAATTTGAATTTTAAAATCTTCCCAAATGAATATACCCCAATTAGGAAAATACTCAATGCTAATCAAATCTGAATTTAAATTCATAATTTGGTTTAATTAAGTATGCAATCAATTGGGCCTCATATACATTGAACCTAGACCTTTTTCCTCAGCCCCTATGGCCGGCCCCCTTCTATCTCCACTTTCCCACCCAAGCAACAATTAAATTGGGTTAATTTGAATTTCAAATTGGCCCTTCCCCTTTAATGAAAATCTGAAATTAAATTCAGATTTTCCCTCCCATCTCCTTCCCCCCAAGCTACTTGTTTCAACCCAAAGACCCCCAACCCTAGCCGCCCGCTCACCCTCCCATGTCCTCGCCCATCATCCCCTCACCTTCTCCTCACCAATCTCAAGAGAGATCCTCCCAACCGTCGCCACCACCATGCATGGCCGATCCGGAAGTCGACCATGGTTTCTTATTTGATGATCAAGAACGAACCAACATCCTTGAATCTCCGTTCTTCGACGTGAACCTAGACGTGGACTCTTCTGTGGAGGATTACTTGACGAGGAGCATATTCCTCCCGGATGTTGGATACTCACTAGTCATCCCGTGGATTCCCCGCCGCCGACTACTTCTCCAACGGTCTATACCTTGGGCACCATTTGTCTCCTAGTGGCGTTGCTCGGTTTGCTCTCAATCTTCCTCCGTTAAAGCCCCACCATCAAGAACGTGAGTGAGAGACCCAAGGTGAAGAGTTTTATTTGTTAACCGAGGATTATTGTTTCTCGCCATAACATTACTCTCTATTTATATATTGTTAATTTGATATTGTCTCATTAATCTAGTTGTAACTTAAAGCCTTGCATTGTCTCTAATTGATAATTCCGAGAACCTAACTTGGGTAAGCACTAAATCTATAATTAGCAAAGTTTTTATAATCTTATATTAAAATCCCCAAGCAGTTCTTGTTTCTATGCATGGATTCACATCACCTTGTTCATGGCCTACGCCCGTGATCCAATCAAACGCCCTTATGGCATTTATGTGTGTTCGTTACTTTGGCCTACGTGGCTGATGTGTCTTGAAAGTAAAAACAGAAAGTAGATAAGAAGAAAAACGTAGGAACCAAATATTAGTACTAATTTTTTATTATCTCTTCAACAAATATTTGTACTAATATTTACGATCTGGTTCTCCAATCCTGAGCGATATCAAAATCATATCCGAGTAACTTAGATAACCACATCTGATACTCCTAAGTCACCATCCTCTGCTCTAGTTGAAACTTCAAACTCCTCTAGTTTGTCCTGACAATAAAGTGTCGCCTCAACAAATAAGGTCGCCACTTTTAGATGGCTAAGACAATTTCCATCAACTCTCGTTCATATATGGACTTGAGCCTTGCCCTGGTTGTGGGCACCAGGCTAAAATAATCAATGGGTCGATGATCCTACAAGAGTTTTGTCCCTAGTCCATATCAAGATGCATCCCTCTCCACCACAATGGTCTACTAAAGTTAGGAAGTGTTAATCTGGCACGTTGCTCATGACTTCAATTGCTCGAAGGCTTGTATTACTACTTCCCCATAGTAGAAATTGTCTTTTTTCAGCTGCTTCGTCAATGGTCATGCTATCGTACCATACCAATGCACAAACTTTCGATAGTACCTGGTGAGACCTAAGAACCCTCTCGACTCCTTCAGGTTCTTCGATAAAGGCCAATCCAATATAGCCCCAATCATGGTTTGGTTTGCTGTTACCCCCACTCTGCTCATCATGTGTCTTACGGACTCCACCTATGACTGTGCAAAGAAATATTTCTTCAGATTGGCATATAGTCAATGCTCCCTCAAAGTCCCCGTACAGTCCTCAGGTGACCCACAAGCTCTGCCTCTATACGATTGTAAATCAAGATGTCATCAAAAAATACTAAGACAATTTTTCTAAGATAGGGTTAAAAAACCTGGTTCATGAAGGATTGAAATGTGGTTGGAGCGTTGATAAGGTTGAAAGGCATCACAAAAAACTCATAGAAACCATCATGAGTCTTAAAGATTGTCTTGTGCACATCCCCCAAATTCATTCTGATCTGGTGGTACCCCGACTTCAGGTCAATCTTCGAGAAGATGACCACCCCAAACAGCTCATCTAGCAGCTCATCAATCACAGGAATAGGAAACTTGGCCAGCCCAGTTTCCTTGTTTAGGGTCTTATAATCCATGCAAAACCTCTAACTTCCGTCCTTTTTTCTCACCAATAGACCTGGGCTAGAAAAGGGGCTCACACTGGGCCTGATAATCCCTGCCTCAAGCATCTCTCTGATGAGCCTCTATCTCAACCTTCTGAATCTACGGCTACTGGTACGATCGAACACTAATAGGAGAAGCTCCCTCTTTCAAGGTAATGGCGTGGTTATGCTCCCTGGGTGGCGATAATCTACTAGGCTACTGAAAAATCATAGGAAACTGCTGCTCCTATTGGAGCCTCCTGTGATGTATAGGCACTCCTATAGGAGCCTTCTGTGACTATGCTCCTATTGATCCTCTCCATCTATCTCTGATCCTCTATTATTTGGGCTAGCTCCATCGACTCCCTCAAACCTTTTGGCCTCAACAATCGAAACTGTCTGTCAGGCTTTAAGCCCTTCATGAAATTTCCCTCCAACATTGCTTCTAAAGTCTCCCTCAACCATCCTGATAGCAACTCAAATCTCTTCTGATACTCCGTGAAGGTCCCTTCCTAAGTCAAGGCAAGGAATTGCTCATGTAGGTCTCCTTCCTGAATTGCTTAGAAACGTTACAACAAGCAATCCTTAAACTCCTCCCAAGAGTGGATTAGATATCTAGCCTCCCTCCAATGGAACCAAGCCAGGGCTTTCCCCTCAAGACATATCCCTGTTTTCGTAAGCTTCTCCTCCTCATTAAATCCATTCACTGCGAAATACCTCTCCACCTGGTACAATCCACCATGGGTATCCTCCTCTTCAAATATCAATATCTTCAACTTCCTTATACTAGGCACTAGCATCTCCACTCCAACTTCCTCTCCCTCCAACGGTTCCCTCCATGTATCGAGGGTGGGAATCCCACCTTTCTTCCCTCCTCCTTGCATGATATGATCCCCATGGTTCAGCTCTACCCCCTCCATCTCCAGTCGCTCATTCCCCTTGCTCGAAATGCCTCTCATAGTGATCGGTCACCCTACCACCTCCGCCACTAAATTACCTCCTTATTGTCCCCCCATCAATACAAAACTGTAGATGAAAACAAGCCAGAGTAAAATCATAAATTTCAATCATACTCATGCTAAAGGAAAAGAACCTCAATTTTCATGCACTAATAGGATATGATTCGCTTAAATTTTTTCTAGTCAAGATCCAAGCAACAAAGGACATCAGGTTAGCCAAATGAGCACAAAAATGGTAGGCCAACCCAGCATTAATTTTCATTATATTGCTATAGAAATCTTTAAAATTTGGCACATATATCCTTACCCCGATGTTGCATTGGATGGAGAGAAAGAGCCCTGAGCTTTTGCAGAAAATACAAGAAATATGGCCTGCATGTCAAAGGTAGCTTTTAAATATATAAATTGGTAAAATAGTAGCGTTTAATGACAAAGAAGATTCCGCAAATCAAAATAATGATGGATGACAAACTAAATAACTAATAAACAGTTTCCATAGTACATCAGGAGCAATTACATGTACAACTACCAGCATTTATCATTAGTAGCAAAAAATAAAGAAATATATTTGAAGCAATCTGCTGGAATTCATGAACATTATCACATCTAAAACTACCAGTCTTCTGGCTTTTAGGACTAGCATTGTCCCCAGTTGGCACATGCTAGAAAAAAAAGAGTGAATAATACAGTTGCATCCACCGCAAGAAACAACTAATCAATAGTTCGCATCCTGTAGGGACAGTGAAACAATAATTACAAACTGTTCAGAATCATAATTCCAGGCAAACTGAAAACCAGGAAAGATATACGATGATGAATTATCAAAAGATAACTATCATGTGAAGGCACGCAACAAAGCAGAACATGCAGAATTTAATCGTTGACAATTTTTGTAACATAGTTTGTCATGCTTAAATGCAAGAAGGTTCTGAAATAAACCCCACCACAATAAAAACCCAGAATATTTCGATCTTCATCATATAAAATTTCAATTTTCTCAAATACGTATTCGTAGAAGCTGTCTTTGTTACCAAAAACGCCATGCATCATTTACTTGCATCAGTGACCGTAAAAACTGCATCTACAGCCGGTCGTAAACCATAAAAATGATTAAATAAATGGCAAAACATAGTCAACCTTCCAGAGATAACTTAATTTACACCAAAACCTCCAGGCCCAACGCTTTTAAGGCCCGTGAAGGAAAAAGACATTTAGAAAAACTAATTAGCCATACGCAAAGAAGAGAAAAAGAAAAAAAGACAACATGCCCCTTGCCAAGCACTTCATCTTACCCTTTTTCCTCAGGAGATTAGACTGAGCTTGACCCCCAATAATGACGATGTTTTTTTTCCGTTTGAGTTTATGAAATCAATGAGCAGGCAAAATGGAAAAAAAAAAACAGAAGCAATAGGAGATAACTTCATTCATGGCATTGACAAATGGCTTAATCTTTCCACCAAAAAAAAAAAGGAAGATCTCAAACTGGCAAGAAAAGTGAAAAAAATGAATATCTACATTCTCCTCTAAGAAAAAGTTAATAATCCCCATCTCCCCAAAGATGAAATCATCCCGCATAAAAACACCATGATTCTACTTTTTCCCTAAACTAGAACCCCATAAACAATCACTAATGGCGTCATATTCTTCTCAGATAACATAACAATAACTCCAAGAGAAAGATGTTTAAGCAATAATAGGAAACCACCGATACAGCATGAATTACACGAGAAGCAAAAACTGAGTCAGTTACAGTACCAATCTCAAACCAAATCCAGCATATACAAATACCATGGTTAGTATTTTGGGGACCCAAACTTTCTCAGGAGAATATGGAGGATGAAAATATAAAAAACCCTACTGCTTCTTCGTACCTCCAAAAGGACAACCGTCACTGCAACGAAGCCCAGACGGCCACGAAGAAGAGACCCCCTTTCCATGGCAAGCTCTGTGGAGAGACGGAGAGACGCTGTGCGCAAGTCCCACCGAACTCACCAAAGGATATGCTCATATACCACCTCAAATCAGGCATTATATATGAGGTTTGAATTGCGTCACTCCGAACCAATATGAATTTTTAATGCATCATTTTTTATTTTTTTTAATAAATATAATAAAAAAAAATTTGGGGAAAATTAAGGGCAATACCCAATATTTTTTATACATTATATTTATCTCAAAATAATTCAATAATTTTAAAATAATCATCATTATTAAAAAATATTAATCGAATATTTAAATTAAAAATATGTCGAGATTAATTTTAAAGCATTATGAATTATTTTAAGACGATTGTAATAAATAAATAATTTATATTATATTCATCTAATAATAAATAAATAATATGTATTATATTCATCTTATAATAAATTTGAACAACATATCTTTTTTCTTTTTTTTTTTATTCTTCATTGCACATTTTAATGAATTTAAGAATTTGTCAAAAACCTAAAGAGCGATTCGAGAGAAATGAAAAATATGTGCAAGAATATTATTACCTGATTTATGTTATGATAATCTTGAATATCATTGGATTGTGTGACGTCATATATATAATCAATAATTTTAGAGTACATTTAAGGGTATTTTAATTTATATGATGTAAATTATTTTAAAATATTCATACATTGCAGCAATTTGGCTTTGCAATATTCTAAATGTAAGGGTTTTGAAATGTTAGTATTGGGTATGAATTAAATGAAATGCAAAATAAAATTTTAAAATATTTGAAATTCACAAATCATTAGAGTTGGGTGATTTTCAAATACGCTGTAAATTCTCTGATATTGTCATCTTAAATCACATGTATCTGCCGCTCGTTCACTTAGGGCATCTCCAACGGAGAACTCCAAAATTTATGCAAAATAACGCAGAACTCCAAAATGGCCTGGTGCTGCTCCAATCAAACGTCATTTTAGATATTTTTCGGAAGTTAACGATCTTCTCCCTTTCGCGCGTTTTACCGGTTGAGAGAGTAAAATGGCGTGGGTAAACAGTGCGACACCAATATTGGCGTCGCACTGTTCACCTGCAAGTAAATGGTGAAAATTTTTGCGTTCCGTTGGAGCGACGGACGGACGGCATACGCTCGTTTGGCGTTCGGTTGGAGATGCCCTTATTAGCACTACTGCATTTTAAATATCACGAACCATTATCACTGCTACCTACACTATCATCATATGTTTGATCACTAATCACCAACTACCTCATCATTAAGCTTAACAATGCATTCATTATATTTCAAAAAAAAACAATTATTAATATTTATTTATACTCATTAAAATAATTTTAAATATTTCAAATGTATTATACCAATTTTACACAACATTCTACATTATTTCACATTCACTTTTATTCCAACTAACCGGCCTCGCTTTTTTAAAAGAGAAAATTAAATAATGTGACTTTGAGAGAGAGGTCTTCGTTCCGGTCACCGCCCAGGTGAGGTACCAGCTAGAGATTTTGTTCTGGAATTCATTCGGAACCGATAAATAAAAAAAGTATGGAGAAGCAAGTCAAATATGTCACTATCCGTGAGTGGGTGGGTGGCTTGTTAGGTTTTATGTTTATTATATAAAAAGTTACCCCGGGTGTTTTAATATTTTATACAAATAACTATTACTACGGGCTATAATATTCATGAATCATGATGGTAGAGAAATATTGAGTTTAATTAATATCCTAATGTTATGTGAAGTTTTAGCATACATATAGATAAGAGTGAGATGTGCAAAAGTCTTAAAAGGCACTAAGATTTTTATGTGAAAATATTTAAAAAGGAGAAAAATCATGAGGTTGACCGAGTTAAAATAATTCTTTTAGTGTTTGTTGTTGATTATAAATAACGTTCTTCCTTGGGGGAAGGCGTTGGCTAAATATGCATCATATTATGCACAATACATGATTGGATGGAGGTTCGAAGGATCGTAGTTGTGCATAACTTGTTTGGAGTTAGAGGAATTCAGTGAGATGAGAGCTGTTCTCAAGATGAAGTATGCCTATTTGTTTGGTCAAAGGAATCGTAGTCAGCAGGCGACAGTAGTCGGAGGTACCGCAGTCGGTGGACGACGATGGTTAGTGGGATCGTAGTATGAGGGCGATGGACGTCATAGGGATCGTAGGCTACGGTGGCTGAAGGAACCGTAGTTGGTGGGCGACAAAGGTCGGATGCAACATAATTGGTAGGTGATGGAGGTCAGATGATTATAATTGGCAGGCGACGAAGGTCAGACGAAGACCCCCGAATATGGCTCCTGGTTGGAGTTCCGACAATGTTGGCCATGCAAAGGTCCAGCAACGGCGCCTGGTGGCAAGGATTTATCAGTGGTGGTGCAAAGGTGAAGCTATGTGATGCTTAAAGCCTTAGCGTTCTCTTGAGTCTCTACGTCAGAGTATAAAGCCTCCAAAAGTCCAAGCTCCCCTTCATGTTGGAAGATGTGGTCTATCTATGTATTTTGATTGTGACATGCTCCATAAATATGGAGAAGATCTCCATCAAACATTCCATAATTATTCTCTCAATCATGGAGCCTTTGTTCAATATTTAAATGTCTTGATGGTGTCAAAATTAAGCAATCTTTGGATTATTGGATTTGTCTAGTTGTGCTACTCGATTTGACTATAAGCATGTCATATTTTGATATCATCTGGTCATTCAATTAATGTTTTAGAGCTTCCAAATATGTTTAAGCTCTTGATTTGTGCTCATTTGGGCTTGGATTGGACCTATTTTTTGTGTCGTTGGGTTTCTCTCACTATTTCAATTTGATTATAAGTTAGTTAAAATCAGAGTTCACATGCCTCCGAATTAAATTTTAGAAATTTTTAACTTATATATGGTTCGAGATTCGTGCATAATTTTTTGATGACATGTCAATTATAATCACATTTGTTCCTGCTTAATTTTATATAAACTATATGACAATTATATTTGACTTAACCACTATAATGAGCTATGATGCTATAATTCATTCATTAAAATTAGTACAAATTTGACAAAATAAAAATATTTAAAAGTTTCAAGCATATAATGTTTAAACCGTTTTGATGATCTAAATGTGATAACATAATTCATTAATCAAAATGACCGTAAAATCTATTTGATCAGACATGAATCTTAATTTTTAATGATTTATTCAAATTCAACTGAATTTAATATCTAGTCTTTTTTTTTTTAATTTCTCTAACATAAATTTTAATAAATCTCAAATTACAGATCTACCAAATTCTATCAATTTTTTAACCAAACAGCCCCTACCGTATCGTAGAATTAAATTCTATATATAGTACTATAATTAAATGGGAGTTCTTACGGTTTTTGTGTTGGCCTCTTTTTACATTAGTGGGATGTAAGGATGAAAGATATATATTAAATATTTTAAATGTAATTAAATGAAGTTTATTTTGAATTCCCAAATTATTTAATTGATTTCAAAATGAATTAAAATTTTAATTTTTATAATTGATTTATGTGAAATAGACATAAACTTCTTTATCAATATATATTTTTTAAATATAAAGTTTTTATTAATAAATTATATTAAATATTTTTTAAGTGGATTTAAGGCATCGGACAATGAAGGAGTTACACAAGGAGCAAAAAAAAAAACTAAAAGTGAAAAAAAAAAAAATTAGGGTTGAAGTCGCAAAATTATTGGTTAAATGCGACAATCTTAATAAAGATGGTCATGGGGACGACAATGATGAAAAACATTAGGAGGTCAAGAGTAGGGGGGTGTCAATATTTGACATGACCCGAAAACCTGACCCGAAAATTTCGGGTTAGGGTCAAACCGAACCCAAAACGGGTCGGGTTCGGGTTCAACATTTCGACCTGTTTAAAAAATAGGGTCGGGTTCGGGTTAACCCTTTGACCCGAAATTGACCCGATTTTGAGCCGAAAACTCGGTTTTGACCCGGCAACCCGAGATTGACCCAATTTGATCCGTTTTTACCCGAAAAAGAGGAGATAGACGTGTTTTTACCCGAAAACTAGCAATTTTTTGGTTGAAGCGGGTCATTCTAGTTGTGTCAGGTTGACCCGAACCCGAAGCAGGCCGGGAAAACTAAGTCATTTTCAAAAACGGGTCAGGTTCGGGTTGACCTGAATAGTGTCGGGTCAATTTCGGGTTCTATCTGAACCCGACCCGTGACCCGAATTTGACACCCCTATGAATCAAGAGCAGGGACTTAGGATTTTGTGTTCCCACTA